CTGTATGTGACTTTTTGTTTTTCTCAAGCTGCTCTCAGGATTCTTTGTCTTTGGTTTTGGAGAGTGTGATTATGATATGCCTTGGTGATTTTCTTTTGGGGTCTATCTTATATGGGGTTCTCTGAGCTTCTTGGATGGCCAGCTTTTCAGCTTTTGTGATATTGTGGAAGTTTTCTGTCATCAATTCTTCAATGATCCTCTCTATGTTTTCCACTTTTTCCCCGTTCTTGAACTCCGATCACTCACAAATTTTTGCTTTTGGTTGTATCCCACATAATTCTCAGGGTCTCTTCATTTTTCTTCATTCTTTTTTCTGATTTTTCCTCAGAGTTGTATCCAAGTGTTTGTCTTCAATTTCGCTGATCCTGTCTTCCACAGTTTCAAACCTATTCCTCAGCCCTTCTATGACACTGTCCATTTCTGAAATCTTGTTGTTTATCTTTTAGATTTCTAATTGTGGTTTTGTATAATTTCTAGTTGTGGATTTATTTTTGCATTTTGTTCCTGTATTATTCTCCTGAATTCTTCCATTTTTTGGTCTGTATTTTCCATGAATTTGTCTGCCTTTTCCATGAATTTTATCTATTTTTTCCTCATTTTTGTCTTCTTTTTGCTTCAACTCTTGGATAGCTCTGAATATTAGAGATTTGAATTCCCTATCAGGTAGTTCTAGTGCCCTTTCTTCTACTGGAAATCATCTGGTGTTTTATTTTGGATGCCTACTGAAACCATCCTGTCCTGTTTTTGTGTTTTGATAGTGTCTGCTGTCTTCAGGGCATTCGATAGTTATTTTTCTTGTTTATTGATTGTAGATTTGTTTGTTTCATCCTTTTTTGTGTTTTATTTGGCTATGTCTGAGCAGGTGGGCTGTGTGTTCTTTGCTGTTTGCTCATCTGTGGGCATGATACTTTTCACCTCCTCCTCCAATTGGCAGGGTCAGTCACTCAGATATAGTACAGCAGGGCAGGTCTAGCTGAAGAGGAGTTGCTGGGATGGGTTGTTTCTGGCACTTACTATGGCCACCAGCATGGGCCGGTAATCAGTGCAAGGCAGGTTCCAGTAGGCTGTGCCTGTGCTGCTTGGTGGTGTGATGTTAAGCGCATGGTGCAGGTAGGCAGGATTGAGGGGGGAGATTGTAACGTGTGGAGCTAAGATGGGTATGGGAAAGGGGAGAGAGGAACAGGAGCCAAAAACATACAAACAATAAAAGAGTGCCTGGGGAGCTTGCCATTGGAGTGGAGAGGTGAGAGACTATGAAATGGAGAAAAACAAAAAGGAGGAGAAGAAGAAGACTAAAAAGAAAAGAAAAGAAAAAAGAATAAATAAAAATTAGAAAGAAAAAGGAAAAGAGAAGCTCCCAAGGATCCCACTGATGCAGCTATGAGGTCTGGGGAAGTTGCTCCCAGGCCGCGAAGTACAGCCTGGCTAGAAGGTGTAGAGGTGTCACTCAGCACCAGGTATTCAGGGGACAGGAAGAGAAGGAAAGTATAGAGAGACGAAAAATGAAGAAAGACAAAAAGGGAAAAAGAGAGAAAAGAAAACAAAACAAATTTTTAAAAAAGAACAAGAACCCCCCCAAATAACAGGAAAAAAAGAACCCCCCCAAAAAGCAAGAAAAAAGAACTGCTCTCAGGCATCCCTCTGTGCGTCTGCCAGACTGAGGGGGTAGGTCCCAAGCCACGCAATACTGCCTAGCTAGAACAGGCTCTCAGTTTGAGAAAAGAAAAAGAAAACAAACAAACAATTCAAAACAAACAAACAAAAAAGCCCCGGGATCCGACCAGTGTGGCAGCATGGGCCAGGAAGCAGTCTCACATTCGAGTGGCATTTCACAGCCTTTCAGGAAGAAGTAAAGATGGCGCACAGAGCCACGTATTTGAGAGAAAGGAATGGGAGGTGGTGAGAGGTAAAGAAGAAATCTAAAGAGCAGAAAAAAGCAACACCAGCAGCCAACAAATGGCACTCAGGGAGCTGGCCAGTGTGGGTGGGGGGAATCCAAGCGACACCAGGGTGAAGCTGATGCTTCCCAGCCAAGAGACTGTGGCCACAGGAAGCAGAGGAGGTGGAGTGGGGGTGAAAAAGGGTGAGGGGTTATCGCTGGTTACCGGTTGTTCTGTCTGCTGCTGGATGACCCGTGAAGCTGCTTTCTCGTACCCCTTGTTCGCTGGTCTCTGATAGGAGTCCAGAATGGCAGATCCATGCTGCGTTAGCTGATAGGGGAACTCTGCATGTATCTCTCCTCGCTCTCTTTTCTCTGTTAGTTTCTTACTCCATTCAGTGCTTGGCTGAGTTCTTTATCTCTTCATTTGATGCTTAGGGTTTCATTTTTGTTTGGCTTAGTTTTTCGGATCTTTGCTGTGGAGGGTGTCATGGTTTGAATTTTGTCCCCCCAAAAATGTGTGTATCAATTTGGCTGGGCCATGATTCCCAGAATTGTGTGGTTGGCCTCCATTTTGTGATTGTAATTTTATGTTAAAGAGGATTAGGGTGGAATTGTAACATCACCCTCACCCAGGTCACATCCCTGATCTAACGTAAAGGGAGTTCCCCTGGGGTGTGGCCTGCACCACCTTTTCTCTCTCAAGCGATAAAAGGAAAGGGAAGCAAGCAGAGAGTTCAGGACCTCATACCACCAAGAAAGAAGAACCGGGAACAGAGTGCGTCCTTTGGACCTGAGGTTCCTGCACAGACAAAAAGCTCCTAGTCTGGGGGAACACTGATGAGAAGAAGGCTGACAGAGAGAGAAAGCCTTCCCCTGGAGCTGATGCCCTGAATTTGGACTTTTAGCCTACTTTACTGTGAGGAAATAAACTTCTCTTTGTTAAAACCATCCACTTGTGGTATTTCTGTTAGAGCAGCACTAGATGACTAAGACAGAGGGACAGCATGGTGCTTCTGCCTATAGCACCATGTTGCCTGGAAGTCCCAAAGTCAGTATTTTTTGAGGTTACTCAAGCTTACCTAGGTAATATAGGTTCTGGATATTTAACTTTAAAGGGTATAAGGAAACTATTTTGAGGGGAAATAAATTATCCAGTGGGAGAATCCATATTGCTTAGATTCTCTGCATTGGTTGTCACCCTCCTCTGACCTCAATACCAGTCTCGATGTTGATGCTGCAATTTTTGCACACACTGACAGTAGATTTGAGTGGGACGCCAGTGACCATCTGTTTAAGATGAGGAAGGACTCTGTGAGATCACATCCACTGTCTTGGATGAATTTTCAGCTGTGCAATGGTGCTCTTTTTAATAAGAGGATTGACAGATCTGACATAGAGAGAGAGATTTAACACAGCAGCTTGAGAAGTTAGCAAAAAACTAGCCAAGCAGAATGAGTGACTTGTTCCTGAAAGCAATTCTTCCCTATCTAATCTCTTTTCACAGCTCATTAACCCCCTAGGAATCAGAAAAAGGCGTTTCCCAATCATCTTGCCGTGGGAGAATATAGCTGGTGGATCTAAGGGAAAGCCTGGTAGGCAGAGCACACAATATGGTGCAGAGATGTTTTTAGGACGTATACTTAGAAGGTGCAGGGGCCCTGGTGGGACTTGACTGCTAACCCAAAGTTCGGTGGTTCGAACTCACCAGCCACTCTGCAGGAGACAGATGTGGCAGTCTGCTTTCTTAAAGATTACAGCCTTGGGAACCCTATGGACAGTTCTCCTTGTCCTATAGGGTCCACTGTGAGTCAGAATAGACTCGACAGCAACGGGAACTCAGAAAGTAGTGGGGATTTTTTGTTTCTTTGGCCACTCCAATACAAACAAAGTTACTCTGGCTGTCATCTGACACAAGATACATGGTTGAGGCATGCTGTAAGGCAGAAAGGACACGGAATAAGTATGTGGAAGAAGATGCCCCATTGTTACAGATCATGAGCAGGGAGGACTCTCCCCAGACAGACAAGGGCTCTTTCTAATTGGTCAGGGTCAACTGCTCAATCCAGGATCCCAACCACTAGAAGGAAATGATGGGAAGGGGCCCTCTGACCACAAAGGAGACCAGCAGGTGTGGTCTGGGTGGGAGAGTCAGGGGTAATGCCTACGCCGGCCTGGGAACAGGATTCTTTGGGTGGTGGTGTCCGACACCTATCAGATGTCAGGTTGATGGAAAGGGGAGAACTAGTGGGAACTTGCCTATGTCTGAGTTCCTGGGGACTTCTCTTTTGCAGGGGAATTTTCCTGAAAGGAAGGACGTGGAAGCTTAAGCTGGAAGTTAGCTCCCAAAGCTTTCAGGATCTGATAAGTGAGATATCGCTTTGGGACTTTGGTGGTGCTGAAGTCTGTGGGAGGTACTAGTGGCCCCACCAGAAGCCTGGCTCAGCTGTCTGTGGTCCCCCAGAGGTGATGGGGTAGGCTTAGAGCTGTGCAACTGAGGACTATAACCTACAATTGTTTGTACGTAGGAATGATTTTTTTTAAAGTGGCCCAATGAAACTCTGGCCCTCACCAGACTTTACATTTAATAAGTCCATGTTTACACCAGTACTTCCAGAAGATGATTTCAAGACTTTCTCAAACTTTAATTGGATTGATTGGTCACCAAGAAGAATTTCCTTGGATATCAAAGGCAGTCTTCTTACATTTGAGTTTCCAGGGAGAAAGCAAGGAATATGGACAATGGGATTAGTATCTGACTAATCAACCACTGGCACTGGCTTCTCAGGGAACTTTAGAACTGTATTAATCTCTTTCTCTTCTCTAGTCTCTATAGATTCTATCATTGGCTGAGAGAGATCTGATTTGGCCTGGGCTCATGGAGACCACAGGTTGAGTTAGAGAACTGGAGAGTGGGTTACTTGGCCAATTGGAGGATGTTTCAGAATTGTAAATGGAGGCAGGGGTGACACAGGACCCAGGCTGCAGCCTCTGGCTTTCCCATCCTTGCTCGGCTGCCTCATGAGGGTCGTAACTGGTGGGCACTGACCAATTCTGGCTTAGGGAGTAAGACCCTCCAAGGGGGTCTGGAATAGTCCTACTTGTGTAAATCCTTGATCTGGCTTGCCTGCGGTGAGTGTGGGCACCCATCTTAGAGTTCCAACTGCAGCTTCTCTCCCCTGCCGACCCATCTCCCCCAGACAGTCATTCTCAGTGGTGGGCTCCCTGCCTTAGGTTCTTGATTGCATGTAGTTTCCCCACTGGGGTGCTTCTAGCCTGCCTGCGTGCCTTTCCCTTGAGTGTTGGATGCCGGTCCCATTCCCCATTCTCACCAAGAACTCTTCATCACAGAAGGATGCAATGCCCCTGGCTGGAAGACCCTTGCAGTGCCCCACTGCTTCCCTGACCCCACCTCTCAGGATCCAGCCTCTTTGCCCAAGCACAAGGATACACTCCCTTAAGTGTGGGTGCCCAAGACAGGCAGCTCCCCACCCCAAGTCACCTTCTATTCTCAGCCACCCTAGGACCTAAAAATCTCAGTTTGAAAGGAAATGGGCCTGAAAGCCGAAAGCAATCCCCTTTCCTCTGCCAGGAGTCCCTGGGTGGTGCAAACAGTTAAGTGCTCAGCAAAAGGCTGGGGGTTCAAGTCCACCCAGAGACACCTCAGAACAAAGATCTAGTGATCTACTCCTGAAAAATCAGCTACTGAAAACCCAGTTCTACTCCGATACACATGAGGCCGCCATGAGTCAGAATCAACTCAATGGCAACTGGTTTGGGTTCCTCTGTCTTAACCTTGCACCCCATTGTGGCTTTGCTCTTGGTCCCTGCAGAAGGCACTTCATGGCTGGGGCAGGAAAGTGCTCCCATTTTGAAAGCCCAGTCGAGGGCTGTGAGAATTGTAAGGCCAGCATAAGTCTGGGTTATTTAAAATTTCTCTCGAAGTCTAGATTGGCTATTCAGAAGCCTCTGTCTCCTCCACAGCAGACTCGCCTCACTGACATGGTAATCGGCACCATCAATCCGTACTCTTCTATGCCTTCAGACTGAAGAAGAAAACCTCCTGAAGTTGTTGTTTTAAAAGCTCTTCTCTACTCTTTTCTCTTGATGTTCTCCGCTCCCCAATTCTCCCACTGATTCCTGCTTACCAGTACACTTCCCAGGTGGGAGGAGGCGGCCCCTCCCTGCTCCTCGGGCTGGCCTAGCCATCTTGTTAGAGCACTACCTGTAGGAGGAGAAGGCTGTGGGCTTCTCAGCACTGGGCCCAGAATGTGGTCCAGTCTGGGCTTGAAAGGGAAGCTCAGAGACAACCACTGCCCTCTGCTTCTCCATGTCCCATTATGCGCCTTGATAACAAAGGCATGCGGTACCCTGGAGTGAGAGGTTCTTAGAAACAACTTGTGCAAATGCTTATTTTAGTTTCAGTTGCTGTCCTTCCTCTCTGCTTTTCTGTCCTCTCCGCCCTCCCCGTTCCAGCACTAACTGGCTCATCTTGCCCTCTGAAACTCAGCTTTCTCCCTGGATCACACCACAGGCACTCTGGGATTCTGGAAGAAAACCATAGTGAAGGTTGAGTACTTTGAAATTCTTGGAACAAAAAGTACTAGAAAAGAACTCCCTTTGGTGGCAGGTTCAGGGCCCAGCGTGACTGGGAATGGGCCGTGAAGTTGCTGATGACAACTACGCATTAGGTGTGGCCACATCCATCCATGTGCAGTTGATCTGAGTCACTCTAAAAAGATCAGTTACCCAGTAGGTTACATTGGACACAAAACACAGCAGAATAAAAAGCACCCATTTCACAGATAAGGACAGAGGTCATCAGGGGCCCTGTACTCCAAAACTCTCAATAAGTGGTGGCTGGTCCCAGGTATAAAAGGAATTGCCCACACGACTTGGACAGATCTTCCTCCATGAGGGGTGTTGCAAGCCCACCCCAGACCTGGAAGGTTGGGCCCCCAGGCAGGCAGAATCACTCCCCTGTGAGCCCATTGCATGCCTCAGGATGGTACGAATGAGGGAGGGTGGTGACAGCCCTCATGGGTGGCAGCCCCTAGATTGTGAGACCCAAGAAGGGAAGCGACCCAAGATCAGATGCCCGAGAGGTATGTGTGAAGACAGAGGCCACCCTGTAACTTTCATTGTGGGAAACTGGCATGACCCTTAGCCAGGGCTGCTAGAGGCTGGGGAGAAAAAGCAGCACTGCCATGGCAGGCCCAGGAAGGAGGCCACCTGCTCAGGGAGGTACTGAGCTGGGAGGTGTGAGGACCGGATACACTGTCCCTCCTCACAGTGCCTTGATAGCTCCCGAGTCCCCCAGACAGCACACTTCAGCTAATTCACCCTCCTGGGTGCTGCAGAGTCTGTGCTCTTAGACGTCAGTGAAGGGAGCTTGTGGGGAGACTGCAGCCCTCACACCGAGTCCCTGGTCTCCCGGGGTCCTCTCAGCCCCTCAGGCTTATCCTCTCTGTCCTGCTCAGCCTCCGCATCTGGCCCTGTCTCAGCACAGCCCCCCAGCAAGGGGGGACTGGGGAGGTACTGGAGGAGCCGGCCTTCCCGCTTCATTTCTGCCAGCTCCTTGGCACAACAGCTGGGAGTGTTGGTCTCGTAGGTGTCATGGAAGGTGTTGTAGTCCACCTCATAGAAGCCCTTTTCCAAGGTGAGGACTGGTGTGAATCGATGGCCCCAGAGCACCTCGGTATCCATGTAGGAGCTCCGTGCTTGGCAAGTCATGCCTGGGGGAACAAAGGCCACATGCATTAGATGTGGCAATATCCATCCACCCATCCATCCATGCAATAATCCATTCTTCCTTCCATTCATCCATCCATCCGTCTGTCCATCCATCCATCCATCCATCCATCCATCCATCCATCCATCCATCTGTCCATCCGTCCATCCATCCATCCATCCGTCCGTCCATCCATCCACCCATTTGTCCATCCATCCATTCATCTGTGCATCTAATCATTCATCAAAAACATTTACTGAACATTGACTTTTTGCTAAGCACAATGGAGAGGTAAAGCTGAATAAGACATCATCCTTGCCCTGGAGGAGCTCAAGGTGTGGTGGAGGCAGAAAATTATAAATCAACACGTCAGATTCTGGAGTAGATTACCAGAGATTGGAGTGAATGATTACGGAATGGTTGAAGCCAGAGATGTGGTTCCAGGAGACAGCATTCAGTCTAGAAGAGTGAATAGACCCTATGTGTAGCAAAGTATAGAGGCAGAAAAAGGGTTTGAAAAAAGATAAATTCAGAGTAAGTGAACACAGAGGAGCTGTCAGGCATTTAGACCACATGGGAATTGTTTTGGGTGGACACATATGGGCAGACGCCTCCACACTCGCATACACACACACACTGAGGAGGCGGGAGAGGCACACAGCTTGGATCCTTGATTTAAGGATGCTCCAATGCTTCCATTCCCTGTTCACTAAGCCTCTGCCATCCCTGTGCTATTTTTAGGTATTACTTTCCCTCCAGAGAGGGAAGGCAGCTTTGTTTATGAATGAGAACATCTCTGTGCTTCAGGTCACAGGAAAGCAGCTTCCTGATATTTAATCTTCTGGCCAAAAAAGGTTCTTGCTTTGCTCTTTGGGAGCTGAAGAAGAAACCTCTACCTCCCCAGTCTGGGCTTTCTCTGGGCAGGGTCTCATCCAATCAGACCCAGGTCAAAGGTTGCTTCCCGCCCATTTGTTTTCCAGGGCCTGGGCACCCCCTGTGGCCTGTAGCCTGCTGGGCCTGGCCTCCTTATTCAATCCTCTTCCTCTGTGGCCCATTGCTCCCTGCACTCCTCACCACCACCTTGAGCTGAGGTGTAGAGGTCCAAGCTGAGTACCTAGCAGCCCAGACCCAGGACTGACATCTGCGGGGTCCCAGGACCTCCACTGAAGCTCTTCAGGCCAAGCTCCCTGGGCTCTTCCTGCTTGTCTTCCTGTCCTGCCTCTTGGAATGTGGCTGTGGGCCCAAAAACCAAAACCCATTGCCATTGAGTCGATTCTGACTCATGGCGACCCTATAGCAACCCTGGTTGCACAGTGGTTAAGTGCTTGGCTGCTAACTGAAAGGTCAGCGGTTTGACCCTATCAGCCACTCTGCAGAAGAAAGGTGTGGCAGTCTGCCTCCTAAAGATTACAGCCTTGGAAACCTATGGGGCAGTTCTACTCTGTCTTACAGGGTCACTATGAGATGATATGAGGCTGTGGGCCAGGGACAAGTTAACCAACAAGCAAGGTAAGCATGGGCTTACTTGTGCGTACTTAGTAATCTGTAATGAACAACAATGACAATAAAAAGCCCATGCTTACCGTGCTTCTTGGACAATCTGCCCCTGCTGTGGGCTAGCCTGTAGCTACAGATCTCGTCTGTCATCTTTCAAAGCACCAGGGAAGGGAAGGAGCCCCTTTATGAGCCGGGCACTGTGCTCTCCATACTTTACTGCGTTCAGTCATGGAGTCCTCCCAACAGCCCTGTGAGACGTACCATTGTCACATCGCTGATAGGCTGAGCGCTCGCCCAAACTCCCACAGTGAGGATAGCACAGAACTGTGTTATTCAAACCCCGGTCTGAATGGGAAGTCTATGCTTGGTGTTATAAAGGTAACAACCAAACTATTAAGGTCCCTGAGATCAGGACAGGTGAAGGTGGTCTTCTTCTCTTCCCTCCCTGGGCCTCTCCCACTGTCCGCACGACAGCAGCAAGCATCACCCAGGTTGAGGGAGGGCAGGAGTTCAGCCAATTAGGCCAGGTCAGCTGTGGCCCCAACTCTTAGGGGCTGAGAGGGTCTGTGCCCGCTCTCCCTGCTGGGGGTGGGCTCGGAACCCCGTCTCGGCTGCAGGGCTGTTGGCAGTGAGGGAGGCCAGGGGGCGGGGTGCAGGACGTGGCTTTCTTCTGTGGCCCCAAGTGTCTGCCCTGCTCCCCTCCTTTGTGGCCTTAGGGTGGAGCTCTTTCCCCAGAAGCCCCGCCTATGCTCTGATCCTCACCCCAGCATCAGGGGCAGAGCGGCCTGGGAGCCCCAAGTTCTGCCGGAATCGACTTCCTGCATCTGAACAGTCCTCGGCCTCTGGGGCTCCTGCAGCTGCCACCAGATGTTGCCTAGGTCGGCAGCTTGCCCAGATGTCCATCCAGCCACCTCTGACACCACCCCCTGGAGCCCTTCAACACCCACCCAACCCTATTCCACTGTGTCTGTGGCTCCAGAATGGATGCCCTGCCTAAGGCCACCCCTGCACCAGCCTCCTAAAAGCCCAGGACAGTTTGGCCACCTTTCTGACATGCCCCTAATACTTTGGGGTCAGTGTGGTGCAGTCGAGAAAGCTCTCAATTTGTAAATGAAAGACCTGAACATGACTACTTACTGAGCTTCAGTTTCTACGTCTGTGAAATGGGGATTAGAGCTTGCCCTAGAGTGCTGTGGCAAGAATTAGAAAAATGGACTTCACCCTTCTGAGCATGAGTGAGTTTCTGTGAGTTGTTGTCGTTGCTAGGCCTAAACCTTGTGCTCAGTCTCCTCAGTGAAAAAAAGAGAAAGGAAGGCAAGAGAAGGAAGGAAATAGGAAGCAGGGCTTCTGGTTGGCTGGAGGGTTCCTCTCCTTAAGACGTCTGGCTCCAGGTGGTGGTGGGAGGCGGGCTGCGGTTCTTAGATCCTCAGGCTCCCTCAGGCCGTGGGCTTCCTGGAGCCACCTCATCGAGATCTGCCCTGGCCAAGGGGCTGAGGAACGGTGGAGACCTGAGAACCAGCAGCTGACCAGGAAGTTGCCAGACTGGCTACAAAGAGGGCATTTTCCCTGGAGTATCTGGACATTGAGGCCTCAGCGTGGAGGTACTGTTTCTTCAGGGAAGAAGCCCTGCGCCGTCCCGTGTTCTCTGGGACAAGCTTCTTCGGGAAAGCTGAGGGGCAGACTGTTCCGGAAGGGGCCCAGCTGCACGAGCAGCTCCCTCGGGTCTGGGGTATAGATGTCTCTCCTAAAAAGGATTCCATAAGGATCACCTTGAGTTTGGGAATGCTGCACAAGATCCTCTCCTCATGAAAGGAGTCACAGTATGGAATGACACTGTGGGGTTCTCCTACAGGGAGACCAGTTACCCTCTGTTTAACCCAGTGTGTCCCAACATTACCTGATCACATGTCGGGTAGAACACCTGTTCCTGGACACACATGGCGTGTTAGAAAGGAGTTGCAGCTTTGGAGTCTCCCTGCCTTGATTTGTATCCTGGCTCTGCCAGGTCCTAGCTCTTGCTCTTGGACAATAATTTAACTTGTATTGCTTTGTTTCCTCATCCGTAAATTAACAATCTCATAGGGGTGTAGGAGGGAATTAAATGAGATAATATATGTTTAATATTTAGAAGAGTACCTAGAAAATATTAAGGGTTCAATAAATGTTAGCTATTGCTACTACAGCATCTTGAGTAACTACAGCTCAGGACTGTTTTAGTGGTTGGGTACCTGCACCATCTTGGGCAATCACAGTGGCCTAAGCTCCTTGGTGTGGTAAGGGGACTCTGTGCCCAGGAGGACAAAGTGTCTTACCTGTTGCCTCCACCATCCCTTCTAGAATGACCACAACTTCAAACTCCTCCTGATCCAGCTGAGCCCGGGACATCTCCCAGAAAGGGCTCTTCTCATTGATCTCATGGGAGATGATGAGCGGTGATACCAGGAAGAGACGGTCATCCCCGGTGTCGAAGCCCACATTGATGTCAGTTTGGTTCAGGGGGATGAACTCCCCTTCTTTGGTCTGTCGGGACTTGATGAGCTTGGCACGGATGGAGGCCTCCACGATGTGGGAGTTGCGGAGGTCACCCACCCGGAACATGAGGCAGAGCTTCTCATCCCGCATGGAGATGACAGCATTGTTGGAGAACATGAGGGTCTCTGCTCTCTTCTTTGGCTGACTGATCTTCACAAACATGCACCCCACCATGAAGGCATTGACGATGGAGCCGAGGATGGCCTGGACCAAGAGGAGGATGATCCCCTCAGGACACTTCTCCGTGATGACTCGAAAGCCATACCCAATGGTGGTTTCAGTCTCGATGGAGAAGAGGAAAGCAGATACAAAGCCACTGAGATTCTCAACACATGGAATCCAGTTTTGGTCACCCACATGGTCCAGATCACCCCGGATATAAGCAATGAGCCACCAGATAAAACCAAAGAACAGCCAAGTGATAGTGTAGACCATGGTGAAGACTAGCAGGTTGAAGCGCCATTTGAGGTCCACCAGGGTGGTGAAGAGGTCACTCAGGTACCGGTAGGTTTCCTGGACATTGCCATGGTGCACGTTGCACTTGCCACTCTTCTCCATGTAGCGCTGACGGGGCTTCTTGCCTTCTGCCAGCAGGCGAGTGCGGTCTGTGGCAATGGGGACATAGTCGCGGGCCTGTTTGGGAACCTTCTTAGGATCTCTGGGATTGCCTCCAATCTCCATATCCTGGTTCATAGTATTCCTAGAATCGCCAGCCATAGCGGGATTCTCTGAGTGAAAAAAGACATCAGCAGTGAAATTGACTATTCTGATTCACAGGAACACAAGGCTGTAAGGTCCCTCCCACCTCTGTGCTCTTCAGGGCCTCTCATGGATCACTCAGGAGATCAGACTATGATCACAGGGGTGTAGGAGGGAATTAAATGAGATAATATATGTTTCATTTTAGATAAGTACCTGGAAAATAGTAAGGGTTCACTAAATGTTAGCTATTGCTACTATAGCATCTTGAGTAACTACAACTCAGGACATGTTGCTCAGAAACATGCTTTCTTATATTCTCCACTTGCATTCCCGGGGCCTACTACAAATTCTGGCATAAAATAGATACTCAATAGATATTTATTGAACAAATAAATAAATAATTCCTAAGTGCCAACTGGAGCCCTGGTGGTGCAGTGGTTGAGAGCTACAGCTGCTGACCAAAAGGCTGGCAGTTCGAAACCACCAGCTGCTCCTTGGAAACTCTGTGGGGCAGTCTTACTCTGTCCTAAAGGGTCGCCATGAGCCGGAATTGACTTGACGGCAATGGTTTTGGAAGTGGCAACTGCACATTAAGTGTTTAAAGGATGTAAAGAAAACTGGGGGAAAATTAAAAAATAAAAATTAAAACAATTTATGAAAAGCATGCTATATTCCATACATTGCACATGGACAATCTCATTATTACCACAACAACCCAGTGGAGTTTGATACTGTAATCCTCACTATGTAGAGTCCACGTTGTTTGTGTGTGCGTTACATTTAAATGTAAGCTCCACGAGGGCACAATTTGCGTGTGTTTTGTTCCCTGATACGTTCCAAACACCTACAGCATAGCCTGACATGTACTATGTATTCAAAAAGCACTTATTGAATAAATGGATGAATAAATAAGAAAATGGAGTCCCAAGGATGTTAAGTGACACCCAGGCCACCAAACAAGTAATTGGCAGAAGTGATATTTGAATTCTTGTTGTCTGGCCCAGAGCCTGTGCTTTTTCCTTTATACTCTGCTGTCTTTGTGCTTTTCATCTGAGGTCTCTTAGCAGCAGACATAAAGGAAAAGGTAGCATGTGATCTGTCTCCTGCTGTCTGAGCAGGACAGTGGGCAGTTTGTGTCGTCTGAGCAAATGAGAATAGGACAAATCATTATGTAGATCCACCATTAAAACATTTGATACAGTTATTCCCTCTCCTCTGAGAAATTGAGATGGGCAGGATGTTAAGGCCCCAAGGTTTTCAAATGGACAGTCACCTGTTTTTGGAGTGCATGCCACCCTTTAAAGAGATGCCCAGAAACCTGTAATAGTTTACTGTTTTTCTGATGATCTGCTTACACCCATTTAAAATGCTTAAGACTCATGAGAATCTCTGCAACTAATAGCAGTCACTTACATTTCTGAGCATTCGTGATCCTGGTGCCGTGCTAAGAAATTCCTATACATTAGCTCTTTTAATCCTCACAACAAAGCTATTAGATAAGTATGGCTATTATACCTATTTTACAGATGAGGAAAATGAAGCTCAGGCAATAAGTGCTGAGCTAGGTTTCAGTTCTAGATTTCTCTAGCTTGAGCCCCAGGGTGTAACCACAGAGACCACCATACTGCTTGTACGCATTAATACTCTATGGCTCATGCTCTCTCCAGAAAGTTCTATAAGCATCTGACCCTGGCAGGGGTCATCCTAGGGGATACTGTCATTCAGCCTTTCTTCATTGTTACAATATAAGCCAGCTTTTCTGGATGTCTTCCCAGGACCCTGTGTCTTTGATAGAACAACCTGGATAAATGTTCCATAACCACTGAACTGACCGCCTCATTTGCTAACAAGGATGATTTCACCCATTGTGGCAAGTCGGGTGATTCTGGCAGACTTCTCCCTTTGCTGCCTGGGTGGCTGCAACAATTTCCAGGTAACCTCTAAAATGTCATACGGGAGGGTCACAGGTAGGGCTGTTTGTCTCAGGCGTCTGTCGGCCATTCCTCATTCTGCACAGGCCCACCTGCTCCTCGCTCCCTCTCAAGGCGGTTACGAAGAGAAATGAAACAAGGAGGCAGCTGCTTCTGGCTTGTCTGCAAAAACCCAGCCATGACTTTGCTCTGGCCCAAGATAGGAGACGTTAACTGAACACTTGATCAGAGATGCCCAGAGACAGCAAGAAACGTCACTGAGCTTGAAGCCCTGTGTGCTCCTTGGACTCCAGCTTTGGAATCCTGAGCCAGGGCACCAGTAAGAGCGCTGCCCAACCTGAACCACTGATGCTGGGCCAGGCAGGCTCGCTGCCGACAAGAAGGAATCATTTTGGCGAGGCCACCTGGGAGAGCACAGTCTCTTGCCCTCAGCTGTTTTGGGAAAACAACTTTCTGCTGATTTTCTGCGCCGTTTCCTTTTTTATTTTTAAACACATTCTCATACGTTCATGGAGGAGAAGGCTTTGTGCTGTACTAGAAACAGCAAAAGGTTTTCTAGGACACCTCAGCCCAGATCTGAGACCTTTTTGCATTAGGCAGACAGGAAAAGGCTGGCTGCTTCTGACTGGCCATCTGGATGCATTCCCCAAGCATGCTGGAACCCTCTGCAAAAGTTATTCCTCGCTTGACCCAGGGCGAGCTCTGGATTCTAACTCAGCCTCCCCCAAACTTGCTCTGTAGCTCAGAGAAAAACAGCCTGATCTCTCTCTGCCTCAGTTTATCCTGCTACAAATCTGGGATCGTACTCTTCACCCCTGTGACCCTGGGGGCTATTATGTAGATCCATGGAAAGAATGTAGGAAACCCTAGTGGTGTAAGGTTAAGAGCTTGACTGCTAACCAAAAGGTCGGCAGTTTGAATCCACCAGGCACTCCTTGGAAACCCTATGGAGCAGTTCTACTCTGTCCTATAGTGTCGCTGAGTCGGAATTGACTGGACGGCAATAGGTTTGTTTTCTGGTTACGTGAATATAAGTGTAATGTAACATACATTTATAAACTCTCTGTGAACTGAAATTTAACGCAAAGATGTTGAAGATGCTGGTGATGTTGTTGTTAGCTGTCATGGAGTTGGCCAACTCATGGTGACCCCTTGTACAACGGAACGAAATGCTGCCCACTCCTGCACCACCCCCATGATCATTGCAGATCAGGCCGTTGTGATCCGCAGGATTTTCACTGGCTGATTTTTCGAAAGTGGATCACCAGGCCTTTCTTCCTAGTTCATCTTAGTCTGGATGCTCCACTGAAACCTGTTCAGCATCATAGCAACGTGGTGGCTATGCGTGAGGTGCACTGGCCAGGAATCAAACATGGGTCTCCTGCAGGAAGGCAAGAATTCTACCACTGAAGTACCACTGTCCTCATTAAATATGTTAAATGTTAAAGATGAAGAAAGAGAGGCAGGCAGCATCTAAGTCAAGTATCCCAAGACCCCAGTGGGTGATTTTCAGGGCAGGCTCTGAGCTGACTGCAATGGAACTTCGATTACCCAGCTTTCTTCTAAGGGAAAAGGAAATGCCCACCCTAGAGATCCTGGCCTCCAGTGCTGTGTGCCTGTCACATCAAAAGGATTTTCAGGGACAGTGAAGATGAGCTTCTTTAATCAGATTTTCAGGATGCACTATGAATGTACGCATCCACCATCCACTCAGCAAGCATTAACTGAAGAGCTACTACAGTACAGGCAGTGTCCAACTCAAGACTAGTCGAGTTACAATGAACCATACTTATGACCGTATTTTTTTTTGTACATCTTATGATTAGCAATATTTACTACATACAATGTCGCAGCGCATAATTTGCTGACATTATCATTCTTGTGCCAACTCCCAAAGACAAAGATTAGATTTATAAAGATACTAAAGGGCAATAATAATGAAAACTACAAATAAAATTAGGTAATCAACTTATGTCAGAACCGACTTACGATAAGGTCATCAGAATAGAACCCTGTTGTAAGTCGGGGACTACCTGTACAGCTCTGGGCAGGTGCAAATGGTTAAGTGCTTGGCTACTAATGGAAAGGTCAGCAGTTCGAACCCACAGAGAGGTGCCTGCTTCTGAAAGGTCACAGCCACGAAAACCCTATGGAGCAGTTTTACTCTGACACACATGGGGTCCTCATGAGTAGAAATCGACTCAACAGCGTCTGGTTTGGTTTGGGCTAGAAGCTGGAGATAAAGCAGTGAATAAGACAAATGCAGTCCCAGCACTCCTGTAGTTCATATTCTAGCGTTGCTTCTCTGAACCTGGGGGTCTGTGCAGAATTGCCTACAGAGAGAAAGGCAGGGAGAAAGGCTTTGGCCTGGCTGAGGCAAGCCAAGTATCAAAGCTGCTCTCTGTAGGACACAGAGTAAGGCTCTGACTTGATCAAATCCTGTAACCTCATCACGCCTGTTACTGCTCTTCATCTTTAACCCTCTCCTGTGTCTGTGAATGCGGAGCTGTGCCCAGACACAGTGTAACATCCAGCAAAGTGTTTTAATCTCTGATATAAAAACATAAGAGAAAGAATCAAAAGAGGCAAAATCAAAGGAAGAATAGAAAACTAATACGGTACAGAAGGGGAAGCTAGATAATGAAGAGCTAGGAAAGCTAACTTGTATCCTATTCTGCCTTGAGCTGAGGGACTTTTGGGGGAAGTTACTTCTCTAAGCCCCAGTTACTTTATCTGCAAAATGAGGATGATAACAGACGCAACCAAAATGGGTCGCTGTGAGGAGTAAACCAAAGGTGCACATACAGTGCCCAGCTTGTACAAGTGCTCCGAAAACCAGCTGCCATCCGGTCACTTCTGACTCATGGTGATCCCGTGTGTGTCAGAGTAGACCTGTGCTCCATAGGGTTTTCAATGGCTGATTTTTTGGAAGTAGATCACCAGGTCTTTCTTCTGAGGTGCCCCTGGGTGGGCCTGAACCACCAACCTTTTGGTTAGCAGCTGAGTATGTTAACTATGTGCATTACCCAAGGACTCTTGCTACTGCATACCAAACCAAAACACTTCCCTTGGAGTTGATTCCAACTCAGAGACCC